AAATTTCTACATTTTTTTCTGATGAAACTAATAATCAGCAATCACAATTTTTGCACTTTGTACAGCTTATAACAAAATAGTAACAAACTAGTAACAATTTTCTACTTTTTTTTTTATGAAAACTTCTCATTAGAAATGTTTTTTGATTTTATATTAACTATTGACAAAGGTTACTTGAAATAAACAGGGTCTCAGTGAAAAATCACATGGAAAAATATACATCTGTGATGAGCTTTAGCCTTTGCATTTTATGAAATTGAAAATGACTCACCCTATTCTGGTGGAGCTTGCAGTGAGACAAAGGTAATGGTAATTTTAATTTATAGCTGAGGAACTGTAATCTGGGGGAATGCTTCTAAGCAGGACCACTAATTCTTGTCTCCTTTGTAGGAAGAGAGAAAGTTTTCAAAGACTGTGCAGGGGAAGGTGCAGAGCAGTTATCTGCACTCACTTCTGGAAATTGGAGAGCTGCTGAAAAAAAGACTCGAGACCACAAAGAAACTAAAAATTTAAGGAAGTGTGAACCACAGGCACTGATGACTCTATAGCAGAAAATGATACCATCTTTCCAGGCAAAATCTACATCTGGTTGACCATCATTTTAATCCAGAACTTCCTCATAAAATGCATGAAGGACTTTGATCGTGAATTAATTTTTTAGGTATTAAATATATATACAACTGATTAAATTATTGTACATAAACCAGAAGCAGGACCCTCATCTGGGTTTGACCACTTTTTATACATGTTCATATGCATATGGCAGCCACAAGAGAACCCTACTTCTGCCCTTCTCACCAGAAACATCTGGTGGGCAAGGGTCTTGTAAAAGCAGCAATAGAAACTAAGCATAAAGCATTGACCTCAGAGCAGCTGAATGGCCCTACCATTACAGCAGTGGACATTTTGGTCTGGTCCTTGAGCCTTAGGAAGCAGAAAGGAGTAGAGGGGGACCATGACTGGGAGCAGGCCCTCTTTCCACATTAGCAGTTTGGTTTTGGGGCTTCCTCAGCTGCTTGGCTCCCACAGAACCCAAGGCAGGTACCCAAAGGGACTCAGATAAAATTTGGCGTAAGCACCTGCCACTGAAAGGCACCACTCAGACAACCACAGGTGCTCATTTTCTGGCTTAATAGGCCTGATAGCCAAGACCTCCCCTCCTGGCTCCAGGGGGAGTCCAATCACAGATGGGCTTCTAAGGCTTGTTACCTTGCAGCTGTTTGGAGGGGCAACAGTGCAGACCACTTATAAGCCTGCTGAGGACTAGCTTGCTGTCTTTCATCCGTTTGGGAGAGATGGGAATCACTTTTAAAGAAGAGATGTGTACATAACTTATGCAGGCAAGCATAATACCAATGTCATTGGTTTTGTGAGATATATATATATATGTATGTATGCTTTTACATATATATGTATATTTTCAAGCATATGTATGTGTGTGTGTATATATACTATATATATGCTTGAAAATAAAGATATAATTCTTTACTGTTTGTTTGTTTTTTTAAGTGGGATTTTGAGAAGGAAGGAAGGAATATATATTACAGACTTAACCTAGGTTTTAAGTTTTAGGCTGGCAGAAGAAACGTTCTTTGGTTTGGAGGTTCAGTTTACTTCGAGTCGAGACTTACACCAGGATGGTGTTCCAACTGCTCACCCGGAGCTCCCTAAGACTGTGGCTTCTGAAGGAGGCCTGACAAAAGATAAACATTGCTCTTGAAAAGTCACACCGTTTATACAACTGCTTTGATAACTGTGTGTTTGAATCTGTGCTTCTGTATTTTGGTCTTTGTTACTTAAATACTGTTAAAGTTAGTAATTTTGTAACAGCAAAGAAATGAATTTGATGAGGAAATTCAAACATCTGATGGAGGATTGGTCTTGAAGACCTTAAATGTCCTTTTCAGTTCACTTCTCCAGTGAAATGTGATCCTTTTTTCTTTCAAAAGCAACCGAAAGAGAGTTTGGAAAGTCTCTGTAAGCAGCGCAATTGTATTTTGTCTCATCTTGACTTTCTTCAACTCACAGTTTGATAGGGTGATTAATAATCGTTGAAACTTCAAAGGAGTTTTTTCAAAAAATTACTGCATTACCCATTTAAAATAAGACTTGTTGGAAATCTTCATCAGGTTATTTAAAAAAATTGTTTTTGATGTAAATTGGTAGCCACAGCTGTCACACCCCATCCCCAAAGGAAGACCTGATTAACAAGATGAATTGAACATTCATTGATTCCCGATGTAATTTAATGACAACATAGCGTAATTTCGTAAAACTATAGCCTATTTAGATGGAATTTTGTGCGTGTATAGATAGGGGTGGGGGTATGTGTGTATGGCATGTTTTTGAAATGATGTTTCTTTGAATATCCAGAAATACTGTACATAAAAGTAGAAATGCTCTCTGAAACAAGTCTTCAATGGACCGTGATCAGTCTAGCATGTGTGTGCTCAGTGGGCTGGCCTTGGTCCTCAGGGACAGTGTGCGACTCCAGTGGTCTACCTAACTAGTTTCTTCCCTAGGGGCATCTGGGACCTCTACCAAGAACTCAGAAGGTGCGTTTTAGGGACAATGTTGCGTCAAGGTTATGCTTCCTTTGTAATTTGCTGATTTTCCTACTAAATGTAGCATTTCAATTAGATTCAACCTCTTACATTTTGAGAAAATTGTAAAAAGAATGAAATTATGCAGAAATGGCCAATATCTTTTATTAATCTGTTCTTTTGGAACCTGTCATGCACTATAAATTGTGTACAGTTAAAATATATATATATATACATATATATATATTCTTACATGAGTAAAAAGCACCCTCTCCAGCAATCGTATGTCATTGGTATTTGAAGAGTTCTTAAAATAACCCATTGCTGCTGCTGCTGTTTTTGGTTTGTGTGGGTTTTTTGTTTTGTTTTTGTGTGGTATATTGCTATTTAAAAAAGGAAAGGAGAAAAACACGACTACTGTTTACAGAATGAAAAATTACTGCTTTTTATACTACTGATATCCTAAGTTAAGACTCTCCAAAGCAAACATTTGGTTTAAATCATTTATCTGATGTGGATAAAAGGTAGAGAAATTTTTAGAGTTCTCCAAATAATGAAAAGTGTACAAATGCCTAGCTGTGTTGCCCATCAATTTTGTATATTTTCTTAATTTTAATTGTTCAAATTGCATTATATTTTGCAGTCACTATGTTCAATCTGGATTTGTCTTTTATTTTAACTTTTAATATAAAAAGGGGTTTCAGTGTATCTATGGCCTTGTTATTGAAACAATTCCTACTTATTTGATGTGATTTATTAAGATGGGAGGTACATATCCTTCCTTCAGAATTAAGCAGAGCAAATCTACTTCAAACCGGATGGGTTAATTTATATAAACAACTTTATTTTAAGTTGGCATTTCTGCCTGGTTAATTTTTGTTCAGATTCCTAGAAGCTACCTTTTAAATGGTATAATTCACCGCACTTTTGTATTTAGTGTTTACATTCCTCAGCAAAACTGTAGTATCTGTGAACTTAAATTTTATATTCAAGGCCATTCGTCTTTTTGTTTAAAAGTAGCACCTTGCATGCCAGCATTCAATAATTCAGTATATGTGTTGAGTACTTATTTTACTACATGCCACATTCCATTTTAGGCTCTGCTGGTATAATGGTAAATGACACAGTACAGCCCAGTTAGTGGCTGAGGTGGGAAAAGTGACAATAAATATTAGCTTGTAATTAAGTCCTGTTTGATAAAATAAATCAGGGTATGTAATAAACTGGGTTATGAAAGGACACTTTGAGTGCCACCATTTGACCGGAATGTGGAAGAGTCAGCCATGGAGAAAGGATCACAGGTGCAAAGAAAGGCCCCAAGGCCGGAAACAGCTGAGCATGTTAGTGCCTGGAAAAAAGGCTCAGGTAGCTGGGACTGAGTGAAAATCCTGGAAGGAGAGAGGTAGGGATTGAGGTAGAAAGGGGGGTGAGGAGCAGAGCAGTAAGGACTTTGAGGCCAGGGGCAGGAATGTGACTTCTAAATTTAGGGGGAAGTCAATGAGGGTTGCAGACAGGCTGGTAACATGACATATCCAAGAGGATGCGAATCCGCAGGCCAAGACCAAGTTTACTCAGCCACGCTGACAACACAGTGGAAGGAAGGGCTGTTCGGTTTTCCTCTCCGAGCTTCCTTTCTGCCCTGTTTAGTAAGGCTCTTATTTGAGCCCCGAGAAGCCAGTTTCTGTCTGCTTCCATCCCACTGTTCCTTTCCTCTAGCAAAAAGTGAGTACTTGGATATACCTCACTGCCATCTTTAACTTTCCCCAAAAGGTGGGCTCAAGGTTATACTTTTTTCACGTTGCCCGTTTTTTAGATGCTATCACTGCTCAACACAGACATGTTTTTCATACAGGTGGAGGGTAAGCAAGCGTGGGCCAGGTGCTTTTAACAGTTATTTGTGGGGCGCCTGAAATAGTTCATGCTTGATGGAGCACAGAGCTTTCTTGTAGCCTCCAGCTTCCACGTATCACAGTTAAAGTGGGTCCCAGGTAAGGTACTGTTTTACGTGTGAGAAAAGTAGTTATTGCATTTGACCTGGGGCCAGCTTCCACAGTGTTACCAGGATAGTCTGTTACCCTGGTAAAGTGGAATCCATACCAGCTTGGATTAAAAAAATAAAGGAAAAAGCAGGTCATGGGTCCTAAGTATAATTTGTAAAAGAAGACTGAATGGCTTCAGGTCCACTTAACCAAAACATGGAAACTTTAATTGGATCGGGATTACACCTTTCAAGGATGTGGGCAGTACATTCTTTATAGCACCAATACCTTCTGAGGAGGAAATTCACAAGCCATCTGAGTAAGTGTTCTAGCTCTACCTGGACTAGCTCTAGTGATGTCCCAAGCATGATCATATCAGCATCAGTGTCTGGGCATGCTCAGATTTCTTAAATCCCAGAGGGGGTCTCACAGCCAGCAGTTAACTCTCCCTCCTCACCCCCACCAAACTCTGGAAAACCCCGGAGTGCCTTTTAAAGCTCCTCCTTTTCGGCTCCCTTCTTCTGGAAGGCAGTCAAGATGTTTAAGCTCTTCTGGAGCTCTGCCTTCTTCCCATCGCTCATCTTGTTCTCAATCAGCTTGGTGATCCGGGTCATCTCTGACGCCGGGAAGTCCTCACCTTGGTCTAAGACCTTCCCCATGATCTTCAGGTACTGCTCGGCCCACTTCTTCTCAGTCTCCTTCACACTTGCGAGGTTGTCCTGCCCCCGCTTCAAAAGGGCCCGGCGGGCCTCCACGCCAGAGGCCCTGACGAACTCTCCAGCAAGGGCGTCGTAGGCAGGCAGGCAGCCAGGCATGCCTAGGTAGACCCCTTGCCCCTTCAGCCAGCGCTGGATGGCTCCAACCTTAACTGCCCCACTATACAGGACTGGGTTCTCAACGTCCCCATCCCGGAAGAGGTAGTAGACTGGGTAGTTCTCTTTGTCCAGCTTGTATTTCTCACTTAGCTCCATATTCAGCTTGTCCCCATAATCTGTGGACAGAAACGAGAGATGAGCAGCAGGACCACGAGGAACACGGGGCAGAAGGCTGCTGACGGAGAAGCACCCTGGCTGTGTCTGAGCTCCTCCTGCGCTACTTCCTAGCCAGGTGGCCTTAGTCAAGTCACATTTAACCTCTCTGAAAAAGTAACTCTTCTGAATGTTTCTTATATGCCCACTATGTGCCAGGTACTGTTCCAAGTGCTGGGGATCTAGCAGTGACTAAGGGTATAAAGAGCTCTGACCTCAAGGAGCTCATAGTCTTCTAAGGGTGAGAAGGCAATAAACAAATGAACATAAATGATCAGTGCCATGATGAAAACACCACAGGGTGATGTGACAGTGGGTAAGAAGGCCCACTTCAGGCAGACATGTCTGTGGAGATGACATGAGCTGAGGGACCCGGAAATCAAGGAGCCAGACAGCTCCTGTCACACAGAGCCGGCTGTTGGGAGGACCCAATGAGGGGATCTGTGCCTTTAACCTGGCAGGGTTAAGTGCTTAATAAGTGGTAGCTGTTTAGTGTTTGCTATGTCCTACTGAAAAGGCAGTAATAGTCCCAAGGGCTGAGGCTGTGACAACTGGTTTCTTACACCGTGTCACGGCAATAGAAGAGGAAGTGTGGGGTTCCAATCCCAGCTCTGCCACTTTAAACTCTCCAACCTTGAGAAAGTTAGTCTAAGCACTGTTTCTTCATATAAAAAATGGGGGTCCATCACACTTCACAGTCATAAGGATTAGATGGAAAACACTCTGCACAGCGGCCCGGCACACAGTCAACATCTAATAAATGTCAGCTATTATTAATTCTAAAAGCCCCAAAGGAGTGAACCCACAGGTGAGTCGGAACTGACCAAATGCCCTGGAGACGTGTGCCAGCGACCTGGACCCAGGGCCAGATTCTTGAGCTTGCTAGGGGCTGAGGCATTCCAGCTGGGAGGAAACAGCGGGAAGAACCCACTGCACTTGGGAATAAACACCCAGGTTGAATTCTGGACGAGCCGCTTCCTCTCCCAGAACCTTGAGCTTCAGTTTTCCTTTAGTATAACATGGATAGATAAGATGTCTTGCTTCTCAGGTGGGGTTCAAGTGAATCTTAAAAATGCAGTGCCTGGCCTGACCGGCAAGGCTCAGCAGTTGAGCGTCGACATAGTCCAGGAGAATGAGGTTCGATTCCAGGTTTCGGGCTCGATCCCCAGCAGGGGGTGTGCAGGAAGCAACCGATCCATGACTTTCTCTCTCTCCCTCTCCCTTCCTCTCTCT